GCAGGTACTCGGCCTTGATCCTCCTGGGTACATTTGCACTATGGATCCGTCCTCGGAAGCAATGTGAATAACAGTACCCGGCACGTTAAACCTTGGCTGTGTGGTTCAGCCCGAAAAATTTGTCTGTCAAACAGTGTCGTTTCCTTCCATTATGATGCGTATTCGGAATAGGCATGACTGGGTCACCATCTCTCATTTTATTCCAGTGCTGATAACGCTTCGAGAATTTGCCCCTTCTTCCATGCGTTCCTGTCCCATCGCGCTATATCCGGAAGCGTGTAGATAATTTATTGTTAGGCTAGCCTCCCCATTCAGAATTGAGTTACGAAATTTTGATTTTAATTTGGTTTGAGAGCTTCTCCGTTCGCGCAGACCGCAGTCACGTTCTCAGGCCACGTGCTGGAGGAGAGTTCAATCTCAAATTAATTCCCCGCAAACACGTGGATGAAGATATAATCAAAGGAGCACAAGGCCGGTGGAATTTCCTCAAACATTGTGCGTATAGCGATTCCACACCCAAGAATAGCAAGTTCATCGTTATCGGGACATTGTCCTCCTGCATGTAATCGTAGGAACTTGGATCGGGCTCGTCTCCGCAGCCCTCGCGCACTGGCGGCTCGCACGAGCATCAGAGTCGCGCGATCGAGAATGAGAACGGAAAGGATATCTGTGGAGTAATGAGGGGTTGGAGTCGGTCTGCGGAAGCGGGTCTTATCGATAAAGCGGAAAAAATCTCTCGCGGCCACCCCACCACCGGCACCCTTGCCGATCGAGACGCGCAGACGAAGTCCACCTTGATTCACAATCGTTTGCCTCAAAAAATCTCCTCAGTGAAGAGTTTTCAGAGCTCACAGTCCTGAGTCCGGCCTTCCGCGATGGGTACGTCCGAGGGATCAACGGCCATCGTATCGCCGTCCCCTGGGCGAATTTCAAGCGAATGAAACGGGCCACGGATGTAGGGATCAGCGAGCCTTCTCGCGGAGACAACTTCGGGATTTCCATCTGGGGGCCTGCGTCCATAAAGAAAATTATTCTGTCCGAGCGAAAGGAATTCCCTTCCATCAATTCGCACATTGATTTGGAGAGATTCTCACGTAGTCCTCGTGGTGATTCGCTCTCTGAATCGGGGAGGAATCCTCACGACACTTCGACTACCGACTCCCGCCGAAAAGTACGGGAGAACGTTCTCAACGTTGGCGAGGTCGATTTCCAATGTTGATCCGCCTCGTAGCTTTTCCGTTCTTTTCCTGCTTTTTGAAGTGAGGCGTTCGCTCGCTAACCTCTTCGCCGAAAAGCGCTCACTTCGGAGCTCGTCGAACGAACACTGGTCTACGAAATCGGAGAACGGAGAGGGGAAAAGAACTTGAGGTGGCCAAAGATTTTCCCGCCCCTCACAGAACAACGAAGACTCCTGATAGGAAATAAGAGTTACGCATCGGGCCGTTGAGGAGGAAAAATACTCGGCTTCAGAACGCTTTATTTCCGTTTTGGCGAATTCTTTCGATTTCAGCCGGATAGAAAATATTAGACGAAAGACGAAACGAGGGAATCGAGGGAGGCCGCCGCCGTTGCCGTCACCCTTGCTGACAATCATTTCACGCTTCCAGTCTCCCCGGAGTCGGAGCATACTTCTCGCCCCACACAAACGGCGACGGGAGGAGGTCAGAAACTTGAGAAGTAATGCGACTCGACAGGAGAATCCCGATTCAGATTCACCGTTCGATCCTTCCAGACGTTCACCGTTGACTGCACAGAACAGGGATCTTGGATCACCCTGCGGTATTCGGTGAGTCTCTCCGCTCAACTCATGACGTGTTTAGCTCATGACGATCCTTGATCGAAGGGCCGGAAAGATCGGTATCAGAATGGAGAGGACGTCATCGGTCGAATTTACGACCCGGTATGTTCATATACCCATTCGATCGCAGCGGGACTCGCTAAGGGAAGTTGTTTGGTTGTTGTCGTGTTTGGTGATGCCTTCCATTCTTTCGTTTGCGACGGCAACGCAATGCATGTCTACCACGGGGAGGCTCGGAGACGTCGCCGCCGCCGACACGATGTTCTCCATTTGTAAGTAAGTGAGTGAGACGTTTTGAATGGAGTCAACTCTCTCAAAGCCCAACGGGGGGAAGATTTTCTCGCGCACTCTCTCGGTATCATCCGTAATAGCAGCAGCCGAGAGGACAGAAGAGAAGAAGCGGAAGGCCCGTCGCGCCGTCCGCAGTCTGAGCTTGTTCGAGCGCTTGCTCGCCCGCAAAGCCATCTGTGTTTGTGTTGAGAGGAGCCGTCTTCGTGGGCCTGCCATGGAGTCCGCCCCAGACTAGGGAGGGGGGGGGGGGAGTGGACGGGGTCGGCCGGCAGTAAGCGAGTTTAGGCGCCGGTTCCCCAGTGTAATGTTGGTGTTGTTCAACCAACATCTCCTCCGCTGCCGGCTTTCGCTGCTCGGCTCCCGCTCACTTGAATGGGGTCGTCTCCCCGCTTCTCCCCATTTGCACCGCGCCAAGGACCACGGGAAGAGACGTCGTGCTCGTCGTCGCCGTCGAGTGTTCACTTTGGCTCTTCATGAAGTCAAATGAGTGCAATCACCTCCATTGAAATAAATCGCTTCAAACAATTAGGCGTAAACGTTTTCTTCTTGCTCGTCGACGCAACGACGAGGCTTGGTCGAGACGAAATCGATCAGCGGACGTGGGCGAGCGCTTCGAGAACGCTGGGGAGGAAAGTCCGGTATTTCTTTCCAAAAGCATAAGTTCTCGAATCGAAAACACCTGCGCTTTTTCTGTGTTCACGAGTCCGGGAAAAACTCCTGCGTTCTATTGCGGGATTAATTTGCGAACACGGGACGTACCTCGCTCGCTTACGGAAACACTTGCGAGTGCAACAATCGACCCCTGGCTGTGACTCGAATCTCTGAACGGAGATAAGGCGAACATCCCAGGGCGGATATAGCGTCGAATTGTTTATTTTCGCGTCAATCGAGGAGCTCTGGGTCAATTGCGGATCTCGACGATCCCCCGAAACCCGGGTATTCGAGCTGCTCTCCCATCACAGGTAATCCCTGTGGCTAGCTCGCTTCAACATCCGTAAGCTCTCATACGGGACGTCAGGCTCGACACGCTGGTATAGCTCGCTGAGAGCAGGCCTTGTAGCCGTTTTCGTTTTTTGGGAAAGAGTGGACGCTTCTCGCGACGTCGTATCCCATCATTTTTCGTCCTCGTCGCACAGATGCTTCTTAGGCACAGGTAGTAAACGAGCCGTCCACTACAAAGGTGATGGAGCAGACAGATAATTTAAATACCGGAAGCAAATGGAGAATCTATAGGATGGGAATCAGATGTATTTTCCCGAACAATTCAATCGGTTGGAAGACCACGGAGGAGAAGGATGACACGAGACGGATATATTCGAAGCGGACGTTGCTCCACACTTTTATTCTGAAATCGCTCGTAGTGAGACATTCGCTGGATACGAACCGTCCGAACGACCTCCGCAAGGAGCGACCGATCGGCTCAGAAGTCCTTGCAGAAACACGGCTCAATATTCAAAAGCGCTACACGACCGGCTTGCGATAAAACATTCAAAGGTATAATACACCGTATTTACATGATACGCGCTCTCGAGCGGACAGCTCACTGGCTATGAATGCGAACAAAACTCAGGAAGTATATCGCTGAGAATGTGGTAACTTTTCATTAATTTTCATTCTATCCATGGAAGGGCCATTCCCTCCGAAGGTCTGATTCCTGACTTTTCCCCGACTCCGTTCCCCTCCGAGGGGATATAGATTTCAGCGGCGAATCCAGCTCTCGGGAGATACTCCTCTTCTAGCGAACCTCGATCATCTCATTAGTAGGTAAAGACCCCGGAATGGTACGTTTCTTCCTGTGGAATCGTTCCCGAGACCCGTTCCACCTCTACCCCCGATGCGAAATTTCGGATCCGCACCCGATGACGTCTGATTAAGCTTGACTTTGTTCGGAAACAGGGCTCATTACGAATGCAGCCAAATACCTACCATTCGATGCTGGTCATAGGAAAAGAAGCTTTGATTCACCGAAACAGCTTTCCGACTTCCACTTGATTCGGAGGCAGTTCTCACTGAACCTTAGCAGGAGTTCCTCTCGATTCTGCTTTCTCCTATGCTTCCCCGGAATTTTCCCCAGCGCTCAAGTGCAGCTTCGCACTCGGCACTCCGAGGCCGGAACGTCGTAGGACATCGAAAGAAAAAACAAGGGAAAATATTTCCGATAACTTTGTCTGATCGACCACCGTGTAAACCTGTGCGCTTCGTAGCTCGCAACTGGAACCGCACTTAACAGTCGATGGCAATTCTCTCCTGCTGCTCTTCGCTGCTGCCGATGAACTCCGGAGGACTCTCCGAGCGCGGACCAGCAGGTCGGTAGTCGGTGTTGTTTCCGGTACGAGATTCTCCAAGATCTTTTGCGACGAAATCTTTGACACTTTTGTTCGAATATCGAATGTGCTTCTTCGCCCCTCCTTCGATAACACACCCGCGTTGTTCACGTTCCTCGCTCTTACTGACGCTCGCTCAGCCGGCCATGGGCTGATACGGGAAAAATAATAATTTCCTCGTCACAGGATCGTTCTTCGGCGCCAACGCGAATCGAAGACGATAGATTTGACAGAAAGCAGCCCTCCGATCAAAATCTATGATCGGCAGTGAGATATCAATTCGAGAAGATCTGCCATAAGGATCGAATGAGAAGCAGCTGGAATCCGTAGTGAGCAACCGTCAGCGATGATATTTGGGTGCTTAGCGACGAAGAAAACACGTGGAATCCTCGTGCTGGAAGTTTTTATCGGGTTAGAAAATCGACGCGACAGCTCGAAGTCGCTTCCGACCGTATCCGACTCCGAGCAGAAGACTTCGGTTTGGGCCGAGCGATTCTTCGCTCGAGAATCACACGCATCCACATGCCGTGTTCGGCCCTCCACAACAGAGGAGAGGATCAGACGGAGGTGCGGGAGGAGACAGGAATCTACTCACAGTATAGACTGGCTATCAGAGGCAGCTCGACCGTGGTCGTGTTCTCTTGCTGTGACAGGTAAGTGGCGACGCACTTGAAACGGGTCTCCGTTTTCGTTTGAATGATCTCTTCTGTCATCCGGATGTTCATAACGGTTTCCGCGTGGGGTTTCTCAGCATTACTCAAATCCAAAATGTACTTGGGATCCACCTGAGAGCATGGATTCAAGCAATCGAATGAGCGGACGCGAGGAGCAAGGCTGTCATCATGAGCCGTACTGCAAGCTTTTGTCTGTATCGATGCAATCGCGAGCCTCTGCTGAGAAAAGGGAACACGAACCTCTTTGTCGTTGCGATACCACTTGAGACTCTGCACTGCGCCACCCTCCGACCAGCAGGTGAGTGTGAGCTTGTTGTTTTCGTTCAGATTTCCCTTGTTAGGTTTCGACTCCACCTTCGGGCCAATTGACGACGATGCTTTCCGAGGACCGGCTCGATGAACGCCGAATGAGAAGCTCCGGTTGAAACTGTAACCGACTCCCGAGTTTCAAATAATCCGAGGGATTGAAAGACCGAGAGGCATTCCCGGTCGCGAGTCTGACTCGACCTCGGTTCGGACTGGAGAGAGAGCTCTCTTGCCACCCACATACCTTCTCCGGACGACGATTTCTTCGCTCGAGATGTTGTACGCGATATTCAGGCGGGAGGTGCACGACAGCTTGAGAGAGTTGTTTGTTCCGATAAAATCCGTTTGCGAAGTATTGAAGCTCAGCTCGGTCTGAACTCTCGAGCGACCATCGGAAAACATTTCGGTGTTCTCCTCGAGCCGACGTCCCTTCTGGCCGGGAATCACCTGAATGTAGTCGAGTGGACTAGTGAATTTATTGCGACAGCGCCACCTCTCGACAGCACCATCTGCGATTCCCCAAATTTTCCTCTGAGGTGAATTGGCTTCATTCAAGCTCCGGGAAACGTCAATCAAATGGGAGATTGGGTGAAAATGACCCAAGTCGAGGTAAGGATCCCCACCCACCGTACAACAATTGAGCGGAATAGAGATGCTGCTCCTGCCGAAATCAAGAAAGGGAAGCGAAATGCCGCCCGAGAGTTACTTGAGAGCCTTCGCTGCGTGACTTACCGCCATATGGTTGATGTGCCACTCAAGGGTGGCGTCGGGCCGGGAGGGTCCATACGAACAGGTTGCGCGCACAAGGTCTCGAGATCCGTAGCCGGACTTCAAGTTCGATATGGTCGGTCCATCGGCAGGAACATCTGGGCAGGCATGCAACGGTGGGTTTAGAACACAACACGTAACACCTCTCGAGCGCCGTGTATGTATCTACCTATTTATCGGGACATTTCAAACATCGCAGCTCGCTTCGCCTGACTAGCCCCTCTGTACGTCGAACGTTATCACGCTGCTTTGGTTCGACTCTGATCGTCCTCCATCTGCGGAACACGCTCCGAAGGTCCTCCACGGATTTCACTCCACAGCTCGAGTCTTGGATGCGAAAGTCATCCCAGGGGGGAGGGGGGATATAATTTCTAATATTTTAAAATCGGAAATCGAGATCCATTTTCGAGCGCAGGATCGCGATATGCGCTTCGACGGTTCTTGGACTCCTACATGTAGCTCCCCTCGACAGCAATGCTCGGATGCTCCGGGAAAAGGAGGGAGTTCCAGACGGAAGCCGGGAAGATCTTGTCTCGCAGCGACTCTCGGAAGACAATCATATTTTTTGGAGCCTCGGTATAAATTTCGTGAGGTGCTTCAGTCAAATACATCCGATCAGAAGCGGGATAAGATGGGCGCGAGCGTTCGATGTGAAACAGACGGTCTCAAGGAGCGAACAGTCCATCGTTCAAAGCTCCGAGGTAGAGTCTCGTTCTTCCTCTCGGCCCTCCGAAGCCCATAAGCATTGCCTCGTTTGGCTCCTCCTCGCTGCGGCCATTTCTGATAGATGGTGGACCCAGTGTGCGTTTTCGTTTCCCGACACCGCCACCTAATCTAATGGGACGGAGTATCTCTTTTTCGACGTTAGACTCTCGAGTATAAAACTTTCGCTGCACTTGAACGACAATGAGGGCTGCGCTGTCGACGACGGCAGGCACACAAAGACCATTGAATGACACAGATGCTTGATCTGACACGGAGGATGAGATCAGAAACAAGGTGCTCCCCAGGGGGAAGGGGAGGAAAAGGGGCTGAGGGATGAGAGTGGAGTGAACTGCGGGTTTTTTCTCTCATCTCATCCTCGGAACTACCACCAAGCCCCATCTGATGTAAGTGCTGTTCCCTGACCGTTGAGTTGTCTCCTCTGTCCTTCCGTCCCCCTTCTTCCACCGTGCAGTCGGTGAACAAAGACGAAAAACAACAGTGGAGCGACGTCGGTGGATGTTCATTTATCAAAAAGTGTCTTTTCCGTTTTTAGGGTGTGCTATCTTTCACTCTCACGCTATCTTCCTGGCTGTCTCCCGCGTCTCACGCTGTCAATCGTTCTCGGACCGGGAGACTGACCGTCCGTCGACCAGCGTTCTTCGCTCTTGTCGGTCCCCATGTCGTGGCGGTGGGATATGGGAATCGTTAGAAGTCAAATGTGCAGATTGAAAGCAGATGAGTCTAAACTGGAGGAACCGTAGGATTCTGGATTCTCAGGTGTACCGATAGGATGGTCGATTTTCGCAGAAGAAAACCAGAGAACGGAGCTCGGGAATAAAGTCGGGAAAGATTCGGGAGAGATTCTATTGGTGAAGACGTTTCTTCAGCGATGTCTCATGAAGCGGAGATAAACTTCCGTCACCGCTGACTTCTGAAGAACGACTCCTTCACGACTGCTTTCCTTATTTTCGTGGCCGTTCCTCATCGCCGGCACTCGACTGTCGAGCTTTTTTTCACTCATCGCTTCGTCTGCCTGTCAATTCAGAGGGCTACGATCTGGACAAGAAGTTTCGTTTCTTCAAAGGGGCTTTTCGATGTAGATGCGGAGGACCCAGAAGAAGTTGCCTCTATCCACTATCTCAGTCGCTAAAGACGCTTCTATCTCAATCAGCGTTCGAGTCCCGAGCGCGAACTCCCAGACATCGGCCCCTCGTCCACCGACGAGATTTATCTCTCGGGAAGTCGGAAAACAATCGTCCCGTCGCCCTCGACGAGGGCCGCGGCGCCTCCGGTTTCAGCCTCGCCTTGGAGACCCGGCAACGTACTCGGAGCAGGTATTCGGAACATGCATCGAGTTTGCAGCGTCCGCTTCTCCGAAACTGTCTCTTCTGTTCGGACACAGAATTTCGAAAATCCGCGCGGACCGGCTATGTACGTTTCGGACACATTGTTTCGCGAAATAGACTCCAGCGTTCGGGACGACCGGTCTGGGCATCCCATCGATCGGAAGATTGATGGAACACGCTCGGTGGGAGGGGGACGAGGGATCGACATTACGCGAAACGCTTCGCTCGAGGCTCGCGCCATCTGTGGAACGAGAGCCCGACACGAAGGCATATATTTGCACAACGAAAAAGAAATCGAATCATCAAATCGGTTCACAGTTCTTTTCGGGAGTCGATCGAGTGCATCCCGCTATCTGAGGGTCATCACGTTACACCCCAATTGCTATTGGATCAAGAGCCGAACAGTCGAATCCGTCCGGTGAATTCCGTCGTTGTCGCCGACTTCGCGGTCGTCCGCAGCTCATCTCTCGAAGACACGGAGGAGATGAAGTGTCAAGATTGGGGACGAGCGGGGAGAAAACGCGGGGGGAGGGGGCGGGGGCGGAATAAAGAGAAGAGTCCAACTTATATTTCGCCATAAAGTTCCCCACTACATTCGTCGTGGTCGTCGACATAGTCGCTGTCGAGCGGGCCATATCGACTCCCTCGAAAACTCCATCGAGATATTGAAATTGCTCCCCTCGTTCGAGGCCGCACAACTCTTATTTCGCCAATTAGGGTCATCTAAGTGTCCTCGTCAGGACCTTTCCCACTCCGTCGATCGACATGGAGGCTCATTGCTGGCAGTATCGTTTACGAATCATTGTTCCGCAGTATTGACGCAGAACTGATCCATCGCAACTATTTATTGAGTCACTATGGAGATGGGAAGCGATTTCCCTTCCACAGCCCCTTCAGCAGATCACGCCGACGCGACGTTCGGAACGGACCGTGGTCGACCGTTTAATGAGACCGTGAAGAAATTGTGGGCTCCCGATCTACGGCAGTCGGGAGTGGTTTGCTCTCCCGTCGATCCGAAGATCAAACCAAGTCTACGACCAGAATAGGGAGCCCATGAGGGGGACGACAGAGCGAACTCTCGAAGAATGAAAACCGCGCGCGTAGTGGGTCGAAAATTTGCCGGTAGTTCGTTCGCGCTGTGGTCCTATTCGGAGCGAGCCCTCGGAGCTCCGATCCGTGGCTTGTGACGGAGGGCACGTTTTTCGACAGAGGCGTTTTTCGTCCAGGACTACCCTCCGGGCTAAAACACTTTTTGTTGTTGAGAACGTCGACGACGGCGACTGAACGCAGAAGTAGCGTTGAGGCAAGAAGGGGCTGTGGACGAGCAACTGTGTACTAAACAAGTAGAACACGACTGGGGAATACTGAATGGAATCGCAAGAAGCAAAAGCTGCTTCAAGCACAAGAAGGAGAAGAGGGGCGAAAGTCGGAGATAGAACAGGAGAAAAGAAGGGAGGGAGGGAGGGAGACGAACGGACGGAGGGACGGAGTGAGCGAGCCAGCGTCAAGATGAAGTTTACGACCGCTGTGTTTATGGAGAAGCAGCCTGGAGAACCGACCAAGCGACCGTCCGGAGGGGCGCGCTACTCGACGCGATTTTCCCGCGCTTTTGCCTTTTCCTACGTACTTCTCCCTGTTCGCCTCCAAAGTGAGTCAGACAGACAATCATCGGAGAGGAGGTCGAGAGGAATAAGGGGGAGACAGACATGCCGCCGACGACAACGGCAGCTGCCGGCCCTCGAGAGCGGGGGCTTCAGATGAGTTCTTGTAGAGATGGGACCTAATGCACGTGGATGGAATCCCGTCCCCTCAGACGAATTTTCTCCCACCCAGGCGAACTGGACCTGAAGGTGGCGTTTGCGAGAGTTCTGAGGCAGAGGGAGAGTTCTCGAGAAAGCTCGAAGGTGGAAACGACCTACCGTAGACAATCATGACCTTCTCCGCTTTCTCTGTGGTGAATGAACCTTCGAGAGAAACTTCGCACCGATACCGGCCTTCGGAATCGGCATTGGTCGAACGAAGAACCAGATTGCTCCGATACGTTTGTAGCGGCTGAAAAAATCATCGGAGAAATATAGATGAGTTGCCGTTTCCATCGCGCCCTACGACGTTTTCCGGATGCGAGGCATCGTCGAGAGAAACTCTCCTCACCTTCCCGTTGAGAGCGGCGTCTTCGTCTATGTCTACTCCATTCTCACGGAAGACCTTGACCGGAGGCGAAGCGTCGGGCAGGTATGCGTAGATTTCCGTCTTTCCCTAGAAGAAATCGGCTTTGAGGGAAATTCGACGCTTCGATGATTCGTGAGGTCAGAAGACTTCACGGAGCCTCCCCCCCTTCGGATGAACTCTGACCTTGTACCACTTGATCGAGTAGACACGTTCATTCTTTTCGAGGCTGTATGAGCAATTCAGTTGGGTAGGTTGACCGAGTCTCAACAGTGACGGAACGTCCAGCGTTGTGATCCGGAGTCCTGCGGCGGAGAGCAAAATCATTTTAGAATTCGCACCAGACGTATGATTCTAGAACTAATAAGTCAACTCGATCCATGCGCCCCGCAGAAGGCTTCCGTACATTATTGCTCAGGGTGCATCGTTCTGTCTAGAGCCCAAAATGGCTCCGTCTATTACTTCCTATAGCGTTACTCGAGAGCATCCGCCCCCGAATTTCAGAATACGGCAGGGATCTCCAGCCCAGGAATCCTTCGAAGTCATTCAAAATTGATCCAAATCAAAATTAATCGAAGTGCCCCAATCATGCGACGGCTCCTGATCAAGGAGAAACAAGACGAACGCATAGACACTGTCAAGAGCGAGATCAATTCGCTCGCCCTCGACTTGTTTACCGGCCCTCGCTGACACGGCGCTAAACGAGGGAACTCTCGGGGGAGCCAACAGCCGCAAGGAGGGCTCCTTCGACTGATGCTTCCTGATGAACCTCAAAAGCCTTCTACTCTACATGATTTCGCCCTTCCGTAGAATTGCCTTTGGTTCTCGAAGCTCAACCTCTGACCTGTTCCCCTCGAGTGTAGAAGTCACATCATCGGCTCGAACGCAGAGCGGTTCCCCGGCATGAGCGGACCGAGCATTACTCGCAACCAGAGAGCGATCGAATAAGGATTCTGCTCATTGTCTGAGACCAAATAATCCTCAAAAGACAATAGAGCGAGAGAGGTCCGTCGAGAGTTTGACCACTTCCCACGATGCGTCCCTTGCACGAACGCAATCAGATGAGCAATGCGATCGCCTCGTGCGTGAGGGAGGAGGAGTGCCGTCGTTTCACGCCACAACCGAATGTCGTGCCCACGGTCAACTGATTGAGAGTTGCCGACACTCTCAGGAAGGAGATCGTGGCAGACTTACACATCTTGCTCGTATCCCTAATCCCACGCTCTCTCGATATGACGATTCTCAGGTTGCGATCAACGAAACCCCTCGGTAATTTACGCGAGTGCTCGTTCATCAATAATTCAAGCTGCCACCTCCGCCTTCGACGTCGCGTCGTTGCTGCCAGAGCCCAACATGTTGTAGTTCCGTGTTCTTCTCCGGCGTTCGTATTCACCCCTTCACTGACAACAGCTAACTCTGTTGACGTCGTCACCGTGCGTCGTTCCCCAGGGCGCAACTACCACCACCCACGAGCGAGGTGGTGGCTGACTCCGAATCTCGAACGAGCTCCCCATCGCCCCAGGGCCATTGGAATGATAGAAAAGCCTTGAAAGGCTCTCTATCTCGGCCACGTTCGCGCCAAGCCTTCAATTGCGGTCGCGCAGAATTAGGGCGAGCTGACTTCCTGGTTGAATCGAAGCAATCTTAAACGCTTCGCACAGGAGACGACGGCGGGAACTCTGCCGTCAGCAGCCGGCGTCCATCAATTTTTTTCTTCTTGACGGTGGCGAGACGTCCTCCGGAGACGCAACTCGTGCGGGCGCGTTTTCCTCGCTCATGGGGGGGTTACACGCAGAGATATTATCGAGTAATAATTGGTGTCCGTTTCTCGTCGGTTGCTTGTTGACTGAAGGCTAATGAAACCCGATGATGGGAAGGAAGAAAATCCTTTCGAATCATCAGAAGAAAAATCACTGGTTCTCTTCGACCATCCATGAACTTGGCGCGCGATCGAGTTTCGAGCTGATCGTCGTTAAGTCCACGGGCCGGGAACCAATATGATCCGCTCGACATCCTCGTTCGCAAGTTCCCATGCGACACGTCAGCAGCATATCTACGGGGAAAGTGAGCGGAGCCTTCTAGGAACTTCTTGACTAGATATTTCGTCGGTAGAAATCTATCGTTCCGATCATAAGGGAAGTAATTCCGAAGGAATCACGAGGCTCCAGATTTTTCCGGGGAAAGAGCGGTGAAGAGTCCAAATCCTGGACGGGAAGCGGAACGCCTCGGAATCTGGGTTCGCGTCCGTGAGGAATATCAGGGGAGCCTGGTGGGAAACTCCGGGAGAGTCGCAGTACTGAACATCGGAATACGGCGACCGACGTGTAGACGTAGATGCCGTTGAAAAGAGACGAGCTACTGTCCGACCGGTAGCTCGGCTTAATGGGAGGAAAGCTGGGACAAGATCCACGATGATGGGATGCCGGAACCTCTCTTTGGCTGCATACATTGGCTACACGAATAAAGCTAGCTGTCCAGCTGTCTCCATTTATTTGTTCAGGTACGCGGCATGTACATGCAGACAGGCCGAAGGACAGACAGAGAGATGGTCTGAGCTAGAACTGCCCGCTGCCATATCGCTGGGCTACGAGTTTTGCGTATCTGCCGTCCACGACGACGCATGGGGCAACGTATGCGATTGCAGTAGCGTATGCAGAAGCATGGCGGAGTTTTGCGAGGTGAGGGAAATACGTCGTCTTCAGCTGAGCGAACGTGCCGACACAAGTTGATTGGAGTCGGAATGAAAGTTAGCCTGTTGACCGGATGAGGTGAGCCATCCAATCGTCGGTCCGACTGCGGTAGTTTTACTCGAATAAATGCTTGTCCTCTGTATTCGCTCCCGAGTGCCTCCTCGATCTGTCTGGCCATGCCCGTTCGTTTGGTCCGTCCATCTGGCTGATGCTTCGTCTGGCGGTCATTCGTCAACTCCGACGACGATGATGACTGTGAGTCAGACTACCTGTTCATCCGAAGCGGTCCCGTCGGATCCCGGTCCTTCCCGCGTTCAATTAGTAAGTACCTATGGCTGGGGGCCCCGAGCGGCGGCAGTCATTAAGCTCATCCGATACGAAATTATCTCATTCGCTTGTGTGAGCTCTGAATTTATTTGCGAGCATCTCTAAGTTGGTTTGTTTGTGGTGGGCCGCTTAGTACCCGCGGAGAGCGGATTACCCGCTCCCAGCACCTTTTCCTGAAAGCTGTACGGGACTCACGGCTTGGCTTCCCCCTTTCCCCCTTCTCTCCCGTACGGGACAAACGCTGAATCCGAGGAGGTTCCCCATCGACCTTGTGTTCATGTTGCGCCAGACTTCAGACTCTGCTTTGACTCCTTGAAAGTCTCGGCGCGAACCGAGCGTGTCGAATAAAAACTCGAGAGGTTTAAGCATGATGAAGGCTCCTCGAGGAACGTCAGAAAGATTGTAAATGGTTCCAAGGCTTCTCGGTCATTGTTCTTGTTGAACGCAACATCACCTCAACATCAAGGTGAGCCTCTGAGCCATGAGTAGCACTTCGTCGAGTGAATTCTATGTCACGGCTTAGCGACCGACTAGGGGCAAGGTAGGTCGTTTTGCCGCTCTTTCTCCCTCGCTCTCCCGCGCGCTCGGTTTGCGGTTCTCAGATCTCTGTTCACGGATCATAAATGTAGAGAGATGGGGATTTCCCTCCCCCCTCCCCTCTAGCTCCCCGCCCCCCTCCCGATCTTCCGGAGGAACGCGGCCCGTGGGTGGCGGTGGTGGCGGCAGCCGATCTTGGTCGCGCGAGTAGTCTCGTATCCAGAGCCGCGCCCGGTCGCAATAAAGAACCAGCTGGTCCTGACAGCCCTTCACCATTCATCTCAGCCCACACATACGAAAGAACCAACGAACGACGAGACGGCTCTGTCGTGCATACGACAACAACAACAACAACCATGACCGGGACAACAACAGAGCCCCGCGTCGAATTCCTTTCCAAAAATCAATGATCGAGTCGAGCTTTCGCGCGCGCACGCCTCAAAGCAGATCGTATTCAGGGGTTCGGTATTCATATCGACGGCGCCATTCCGCGGCGGGCGAACACATTTGACTTTCGCATGTATTTTTTCCTCTTCCTCCATTCATCCGAGCGCTAAGCAAGAATCCTCTCGCATTGCAGAGGTCGGAGGTGGTTTCTCTGGGAGTTCCCCTTGACGATCGCTGGGAAGACGCAAGCTCACACTTTACTGTCTCGCAGCGGTGGGTTTCCCCGTGCCGTGTCCGGCCGATTAACATAACGACGTTGAAACCCAATGATCGAATCAATTAAGCAGTCGAGCCGTATTCAATTATCTCGAACTAATCGACGGAGTCGATTGTACAGCTCATTTCACAAACACGTCTCCATTGTGCCGTGACAACAAAAGAATCCAAACTGATGAAATATTCATCTCGACCAAGAGCGGATAAATTGTCCGGCGGCGGTTAGGAAAGTCGAGAAACGATGTTTCGGATGGCTCTCTAGGAATTCCCCGAATACCTACTTCTTTGGATCGAGGCTTCGCTGAAGTCAACAGGGCCACCGATCGACTAGCTTGGAGAGTGGAGATGTTTGCGGCTTCATTGAGGACTTGCTCACGTCGCAGGGTGTGGTTGAGGGAAAGTTACCTGGACACGTGCGAGCACGTTTCAGCCCGCTGCACTACATAAACATCGAACGTCTCCGCCGCGAGGGCGACGACACAATATAGATAGATAGAAAAAAATATCACACCAAGGGCAGCGTGAGAAAATCGGAAGCCACCCAGAAAACAGTCTTCCATCCTTCCGAGTCGAGTCTCCCGAGTGTTCATCGACCCGCGGCCCGGTGGATACAACGGTATTCCTAGGACTTCGCAGTTAGAGATTTGTCTCGACCGACCGACGAACGTCTTGTCACGGCGTGATCTGAGTCCGCAGCTGGTAAAGCAGATTAGAATTATCTCGGCAAGGAGTCTTAAATTCTGAAAGCACATAAAAGCTTAATCTTCATCGGCTTTCAAGATCGACTCTGATCTTATCCGCTGACTGGGCTCGGGTCGGCGACGTCGAGTCTCCAGGCTGGATCGGCGGACTGACCACCAGCTGGTCAGCCATGATGACCGGTTGGGCGCTTGAGATTCGTCTACGTAGAGACTCAAGGTTCACCGGAGCTTGTTAATGGTGACTGCGGATTTACTATGCACATATTAAAACTATCACGTTCCATCTCCGCTGGTGGGCAGGCTTGCTCCTCTCACAGTTCTTGCATCTGAAGCCCCGAGCGCGGGTGACCATCGCACCCCGCAGAGAAAATAATTGCTTGTCGAGATCGAATCAATAACTCCTTCCCGGGTCGAGCAGGCGAGATTCTCGGAAGGAATCAGATAGCGGATAGGCGAACCAAGGATTGATGAAAGGTCCGAATTCGCCAGCTCTGCAGTGAGGGTCTACAGATACATCCATGGGTTCTGGAAACGGCGGTGAAGGGCTGGCAGTTTTCTCTGTGGTATAGTTTGGTTTATGATTGGGCCATAATAATTCCCCCCCCTCTCTCCCCACACCTGGTACTTGAGCTCCAGCCCTTCGACGAGGCTGCCCGAATCTCCTCGAAGGATTCGACTCATTTTCGTGAGCTGATCGACTTCCCGCTACCGGGAAGAATCGTGGAGCCCGGCCCCGAGCCGACCGGTCCGGGAAATGGGAACCTTGCAGCGGTATAGCTCCCGATCGACCCCCGGAAGTCATCGGATCGATGGGGGAATTCAGACACAGCTTGGGATAGCGCGAGTGAAACCTATCGTCTCGGCGCGGGTGCGACACGATTGAACGAGACGATGGACCGACGAGTTCGCGCTCACACGTGTCTCCCCGCAAGACGTCACGTGTAGGGAACTCCTCCATCGATCACGATTTGTAGAAGTGCTAAATTGTTGACTCACCGACGACAGCCTGGAGACAGCTCGCGAGGACGACGAGTGTCCTTGAGAGTTCCATTCGCATCCTCACAGTCCTTGCTCCGAAGCTTCCGCTCTAAACTCTGGAGCGGATCGGCGATGTCCGGCTTCTCGGTGTCAAAAGATCCTTGACGAATGACGTCCACGCACGAGGCTTATAGCACTGTTTAAGTGTCCGTTTCGACCGAACTACGAAGGGGACAACGATTTTTTTTCCCAATGAAAAATCACCGCATCCTTCTCTGACGAAATCTACCTCTCCCTCGAGCTTGAGGACCGAACTGAAGTTGGCCCCGGACTCGGCGCGGTTCCCTTCCTCACTGCTGTGGGCGGGGCTTCCGGCTCCCAAATATAAAGGATGGACTCTGCGTAAAAAGAACGGCATTTTGAGCCCACAGCACACCGTACAACTTTCTTGCTGGCTGAGAAATGCACTGGAAATTCGATTCCTGGAGGTTTGTCGTCATCGAAATTGAAGGAGACGGGAGGGCTCTCATGGGAGAGATCCGTACTGGAAAGATCAGCGGGAGATGCGCATCGGTGATGCGATGCCCCCGATTTGCCGATTCTATGAGGCCGTTTCTATGAGGAAGCGGGTGGACTGGGCTGGATTGTCCGGGTTAGTCTCAACCCTCAATTCACTTCCTGGAGGAGCTTACCAGAGGTGCCATCAGTGCCTGTAGATTTCAGTCTCGACACCGACAGAATTTTCCCCGAGCAACGGGAAACCCGAATCCTATGAATTATCCGTTCCCTCATGTTGTCACCCCGACTTCATATGTACATCGGTGAATTGCCATTGTCATCGATTCGCGCCGCCGCGCCGTCGACGGAAAAGTCGTCTCCTTTGCCGTTTGGAAAGTGGAAAAGGAGGCCAAACCAAGAGACGGTCTGGATTCTGCACTCCCTGATCTCCGGTCTCATGTGTAATCACTTCTGATTGCGCTGCAGTTATTGAAGCGAAAGCAAAATCGAACAGGATATGATACCACAGTTCGAAAATCGCTCCTTTTCCAGAGTGGAGGAACATTTCTCCACTTGCCTTGTTTCCCCTTGGATAGGGGAAGCGTACTGGTTTCGGACCACTCGAGGGGAATAACATGGGGGGACTGCCTGATCTTGAGGAGACCAGGTATGCGCCATCCATAAAAGTCGACGGGGCCACCCCTATGACAACTTATGGACCACTATCTTATAACCATAGGCGCCCTAGGTCCCTAACAGATAGGTACATGGCCCAAAATCGGTACGCTTCCCCTGCTGCGGGACTCCCTCCGCTACTCCATCCGATGAACCGTGTCCTCGAACTCAATGAATTAGGGGGGTCTCGGTGTTTCGTTGCCTCCGATTCTGGGTTCGATCTTTGCATTGCCCGTCTTCCATCCTAGGATGCATCCGCTTCCATTTCATGAAGTTTAGAGGCAGCACAAACAATCGATGCCTCTCGAGTCAAGGTCTCACAACCGGGCGAGGGCGGTACGAAAGTTGCCGTGAACGTCGAAAGCGAGTTCCGAGATGACGTTTCCCGCAGAAGTCTTAGACAAGCGTTCGGCAATCCCGGAATCGGCATCCATCCTACGAAACGTATCAATGCTTAACTGGGATGCGTCTATCGCGGGAGCAAGGCGGGACACAGCGAAGTCTGATAAATGCCCGCTCCTGTCTCAAGATGCTCCCTGAGCACCGAAAGGGCCGATGGCGACTAATTTCCGTGATTGGTGATTATCTGACTGTGGATACTTTGTGCCGTTCGTATCTAACTGGGCCCACCGGCTCCTGGCGTATGACGACGAGCCTGGGATGCGAAGGTCCCTCCGCTGGTGAGTCTGCTTGCCCGTATGATGCTTTTCATTATCGCACATTAAGGCGACCGACGGACGCTAGGTACAATTAGGAACTTATTTGCTGTGCGCATTGCCACCGCCTGCCCCTTGCCGTCGTTCGCATTCCGTCACACAAACAGGCTTCGGATCCCGAGTCTGCCGGGACCAGTGTCACGGCGCATCGAGAGGTGTGCGACGACGGAGCATTCCAAGAGGGAGAACGAAGGAGAGAACCAGATTCCGATGCGTAGGAATCCGAAAACAGCTGCGTCTTATTTCGGAGCTTTTTCTCCTCGGACTCTGCTAGTGCGGCGCTCTCGGGTTCCCGCGTAGTCAACCTCCGTCTCTCCTGCTCTTCTTTCGTCCGTTTCTTTCAGAACACTCACTCAGGCACCTTATTACGAATCGGGCAATGTTTCGAGTGTCGAAAGCGTGGAGAGGTCGTCGGAGACAAGATGACAGCTAAATCACGATTACGAAAGTCCGTCGTCGCTGGACACCGAGGAGTGAGGCAGCGAATGGTGCTCGACAACTTTTCCTGGTTCGGGGCGACGGGAGTCGCTGATTCTTTCGGGGAGACGCATGCGGAAAATTTTCAGTTGGCAGACAGGCAAAAACATTTAAATTGCAAATTAACACGAGGAGCTTCAATTTCTTCTCCTGGAGAGGAGACGACGAGCTTGTACCGATCCCCCTACATACCGAGTGATGGGTTTCGGGTGCTTGAAATAGCGTCCAGTGAGAGTAATAGTAAAGCCCCACCGGTTCATGCTCTTCCCGCTTTCCCGAAAGTGTTGACATCCTGGGGTACAGTGTATTGGCGATCCCAGGGGCCTCCTGATCAGCCCGAACTCTTCCGAAGGCCTCTGATTTCAGTTTTTTCGCTGCTCAGACAGCTTGACGTCTCCAGCGCTAAACTGTCTCGTCGCTCTACCAGGTGCCTCGGAAATTTCGATTCTAGCAGAGGAAGTTCGGCAAGCCGCGAATGGGGATCAAATATTGATAGAATCTTCGTATCGCTGTTGGTAAGTCGGAGCTTCGTCGAACTCGACAGATATCAGTTATTTGGTCTGCTCAATGCTCAATCAATCTGCAGCGGGTCTTTTTTTCTAGCTCCGGTTTTAAATAAGTCGTGGTCGCGTTGGGCCTGTGTCCTGAGAGGTCAGCCGTGTATCAGGCTGATTCTCAGAGGAGGAGCATAAGCACTTATCAAAGATTGTACCTCCGACGTCTTTCTAGCGTTAACCGAGCGTGAGATGGTAAACGTCTCCAAAGATAAGGAAACAGCCATGGAGAGGACCTTGTCGCTGTTCTCAGATTTTACAACGGTCTGGCCCGAGTTGAGGCTTCTCGACTTCGGGGAGAGGGATGATTGACCCTACCGTCAATGTAGACACATATTCAGAATATTTAGGGAGCCGAGAATTTCCGAACAAAGTTGAGCTACGCGGCTACCGACGATGAAAATATTGATATTTATTCTATTTCCGTTCTGATTAAAATCATTCTAAGTTTGCTTCGTCGCTCCAGACTCAAGATGAAGCGGAATTCCTAGGAAATCCATCGCGCCGGGCTGGGTGACGCCGAATTGCCGCATGAAATAGTTGTGCAGCAGAGAGTTCGCACGATCGTTTCGGCATTTTGGAATCCTCCGCATTTCCAACTCCCGATAAGGAATCCGAAACCGAACACTGCCGGGCCGAGAAGCCACGGAGAAGCAATCACAGTCGTTGTTCCACTTATTCCCAGCACAAGCGCGCAGCTTGGCTCGGACGCAAATTGTTTCACCGATGTTGTTAGATCGCAGCATTTCTCCTGGAGACCGCCGTGAACCAGACCAAACGCACAAACGAGCAGCAGCGCCCGGAAGATCATTTTTCGCAGAAGTCCTCAAATGGAATTATGAAATTATCCAATGTTATTGCCTGTTCAAATCATGCACAATCGTCGAGGACCTTTTGAGGGGTTGGAAAGAGGTCTCAAACTCTAATTCCTGAGCCTAAGAGAAAGAAATTACCTGATTCGAGGTATCCGAGAGACTTCAGTAGCACAGAGTGGTAGCGCTCCGCCGAACACACGGCTCCACCGCCGAATGGAAAGAGTTTCCCGCGGTTTCCCTGAATCACCAGTGCGAAATTATCTCGATCGCGCTCAAGCTCTTGAAGACTCTCCAACTCGTGAGAAGTTGTCAGGCAGGCTTAAGTATGTGCAACCCGTGCGTCGAACCGATCCACACACGTTTTCCTTCCGTTCGGCTCGACGTGGAAAATTTCCATGGTATTTCGTCCACGCTTTCGGTCGGGGAGCCCGAGAACCGAATGTTTGAGACTCGCTCACGTCGGAAAAATCAGAGCTGATTTTGAAAGAAGTCGTTGGAGCTGTGCGTGTCTCGCGCCGATTCGGCGCTCCGTGTTATTCCTAGTGCGAGTAATTCGTCGGTATCGCTTCTCTGGACGACTGGAGAAGTTCTGCGTGGGCTCAGGCGTTCTCTCTTACATCTCGATCAGTGGATGGGTAATCTCGGATTCTTTTAGAGCGCTCCCTGGAGGAACTTGCCCGTGTTCCTCTCATCTAAATATTAATAGCAAATGCAACACACGGGAGCGAGCTCACAGCGGCAACAGCACCGGCAGCGGAACATCTTAATACTAAAGCATTCTTGTGCGAGGATGCCGGGCAACTGTTCGGGACGTCAGATACTCCTGTTTTGATTGCAGCTGTACTGTAATCGGAGATTCGCTCGAGTCGACCGGCAGCACAGGCGGAATTCTCGGAAAATGAGCTTTGCGATAACCAATGAAGCGATCGTCTACAACGCTCTCGAATCGAGAACCCTTGAGTTGGTGTTCGCGAACGAGCGATTCCAGAATCTCCGGAACAAGAGGGAACTCGATGCTCAACGCATTACGACATTTCGCGAGCTGGAGCATCGGCAGCGGTAGAGGCGAGTCAATAGGATGCAAAGGAGAAGAAACATGCCATGTCTTAAGTGAGCTCGCGCGAATGAGTGAGTGAGGGTCCGAGCGAAGGCGCAAGAGCTGCGAATCGTTGTAATAACAAAACTCTTCCAGCATGAATATTTCACTATTGGGAGCCGATAGCTCAGACGCTTAGATGTATCGCCTCGTATGAGGTGTATGTCCGGGTGTGTATGAGCGTTCGGTGGCAAGAACGCACTTCCTGGCCAGCAATCCAGCCAACCAGCCAGCCGCCCTGTCGGGCAGGAGTGCCTTACCGCCAAACAGGAGATTCATAATTTACCATGAAGTTTGCGGGCCTTCCCAACTTGGTGGGTGTTGGTATTGATTTAATGACTCCGTTCCGAAATCCCCGAGGTGCTTTGTTAGGCGTCGCGACGGCAGACTACCGGCTCATGTTTACACTTATTTTTGAATTCACCGGTGCTTCGCGCTTATGCCAAGCAGACGGGAGAATACTGCGAAATATTTTTATCTAGTTT